CGCCTCCCCCCCCCACAACTGCTGAAAATGGTTTCCTAGGACTTTGCAAACGGATCTGCTTAAGTGTTGGTGCAAAACTTTGTAGATATCGGCTCTGGCTTGCTCTATTTATTTATTTTTTGGTTTCTTTTCTTTAGTCTTCCCTCCTCCCCCCCTTCGCCAAAATGCAGGGGGCAGGAGTGTTGACAATTAATTGGTGAACTCTCCTAAAAAAATGGAGGCAGAGAAAGACTCTGGAAGAAGATTGGTGTGTAGCTTTTTTTTTTCTCCCCCAAATCTGTATCTGGTATATGATCGATTTATTTTTTTTGGTTGTTTCTTGCTGCCTTTTCTTTCCTTTTCTGTATTTTGCAAGAGGACCGGAAAAAATAATAAATTGCATGCAAAAGGAAGCAAGCAGCTTACTCCTCCAGTCTCTTGTGAGGCTCAGGGTCTCAGACACTTAAGTGGGGAGGAGGTAGCGCCGAAAGGCGTGGAGGAGACTGAGCGGGCTCGGGGTTCGCCTGGGATCTGGGGGGCTGCGGGGCTCGGTGCTGGGCGGCGGAGGGAGGAGGAAGAGGGATGCGGGGAGTGGTGGGGGAGACTCCTTAGGAAGTGAATGCGCGCGCGCTTGTGGGGAGATGAGGCAGCTGCTGGTGCGTTTTGGGGTCTCTGATGAAAACTTTGTGGTGGGCCAGCTGCCTCTCTCTCCCCAAGCTCTTAACCTTCTCCCCTCTCCTCCTCTTCTGGCACTAGCGGTCGGTCGGCGGGGGCGGCTAGGGTCTCAACCCTTCCGTTTCAGCTTCCCAGTTTTTCTGTAGCTCCGGAGCTGCTCCAGCCTTAGAATTGCCGCCGGCCCCGGGTTCCGGCTTCCCGGGTTGGCCGCTGTGGCCGCCGGGGCTGCTGTTACCGCTGAGCCGGGCGCTGCTGCGGCTTCTCTGGGGGCCCCCGGCTCGTGCCCCGAGCCCCCTTCAGGGGTTACATAACTGGGCTCCCTGTGGAGCCGGCAAAGCTCAGTACATCACTAAGATGGGGGCAAAGGAAAGCCCCCAAATGGCATTTCCACGGCTTCAAAAGATGCAGGAAGGGAGTGCTTCGTGTACAGACAGTTGGGCCTTGGGGGTGTGAGCCCCTTTTTCTGCTTTTCAGCATCTTTGGCGTTTGCGCAAAGTTACTCAGATTGCAATGCTGGGGTGCAGTGGGCGCGCGGCTCTTGCACCTGTTTGTGGTGGGCCCAGTGTGAGAGGAGACCCCCTAGTCCTCTCAGTAATGTCCCGGGTTCTCTGGTTGGGTTCCCGCAGCGTGCGATTGACCGCCAGAGATACGACGAAAACGAGGACTTGTCGGACGTGGAGGAAATCGTCAGCGTCCGTGGCTTCAGCCTGGAGGAGAAGCTACGTAGCCAGCTGTACCAGGGGGACTTCGTGCATGCCATGGAGGGCAAAGGTGAGGCGCCCCCTCTCCTGGCTGCACTGTGTGCAGAAGGCCAGCGCGCACGTGGGGAGGGAGCTGCCGGTGGCTGGGTTCGTATTTCGCGCCCGCGTCCCCCATTCCAGGGGATCCGGTGACGAAACAAGACCGAGCACTGGGGGTGGGGGGGTGGTAAGGGAGGAGGGCAGGCAGGAAGAGGGCTGGGCCTGGCGTGGGCCTAGTCCCTGATTGTACCCATCACCAGCACCAGGGTGGTCATTGCCAAGGGGCTAACCGACTGAGAGGGACCCGGGGACAGACTCTGGGACTGAGAGAGGACGTGAGCGCAGCATCTTTCTTCTCCCAAGCCCGTTGCGCTCTCTGCGCTGCCAGAGGTGCAGTGCCTGGCAGGAGCCTTCTCAACATCCTTGGGACATCGGGGTGAGGGCTGCATGCTTGAAGCCTCCCATACAAACCTTGTCATCCTGGACCCTGAGGGTGATGAGCCGGAATGGGCTTAGGGACTGGAGGTGGCAGCACCTTCGTTTGGGGTTACGCCCCTTAGAGGCTTGGATCTGAGCCGTGGGTCCCTTAGCGCCTTTCCCCCTTCATGGGCCCTGCTCTGTGGGATTGGAGAAGGAACTAAGTATGGGCTGTTGGGAGTTGTTGGTACTACACCCTCCCCAAGACTGAGGCTTCAGCACTACAACCGTTGACAGTCTGAATAGTGGGGTCTAGGTTAGAGACGTGATGAATTACCCGATCAGGCCTAAAGATAAAATCCCTGTTCCTGGGCAGCTTGAATGTAAGACTTAGGTACCTCTCTGGATACGGTCTTTTTTCCATGCCTGAGATGAGAGCTGTGTGCTCTGCCCTTCCCATTGTAGAGTAGAAGTTGAGCAAGCTCCGGTTTAGGAGGGACTTCTTGGCCTTGGGTTTCTCCCTGACTCTCCTACTTACTGTGGCTGGGGGTGTTTCTTAGATGTGTCCGGTGATGCTCCTGTGTGAGTTGAGGCTTTAGGAGCCCTGAAGCACCCCAGCCACCATCCTGGGGGTCCTTTGTGGACCCTGGTCCCAGAATCTATCTTGGCTTTGGGAGCAGCCCTTGCTTACCCAGGCTTTCCTAAGGTGTTTGGTTTTTTGTTTTTTGTTTTTGGTGTTGTTGTTTGTTTTTTGTTTTTAAAGTTTCCTTTCAATTACTCATTTTACATTTTGTGTTTCCCCATCCCCCTTGGAAACCCCTGTCCTCTCAGTGAGTTGACAGCAGGGGAAGTGCCTCCCTCCTCCAGGTTCTGGTTGAGTGGCTGAGGCCTAGAGTTAGCCCTAGAGGAGACTGTCCCGGCTTTGCATTTTTGAAGTTTCTCTTTTGTGCTCATTGCCTCCTGGGGCTCTGGTGGAGTTAGGAGAGGGGGGGGGGATTTTTTCCTAAGAAATTTTACCCAAAAGCAGGGTGCCCAGTCCCATCTGCATTTATATTTTCTCTGTGTAAATGGGCTTTTAATTCTCCTCCTTTTCCACCACTTTCCTGAGCTTTGGCAGAGCCTATGAGAAAACAGTATGCAAACTCTTCCTAGTCATTTGTCAGGAATCCTCAGGCCAGGATTTGGGAGCTTTTTCTCAGGCCCATTTGTGGAAGCTGAAACTGTGGGGGTGGGTGGGGAGTTGGGGGTGTGTGGGCTGGGAAGGAGCTCTAAAGGGCATCCTTCTAGCTGCCGTCCTGGCTCCTTTCAGAGGAGGGGGCCATAGGGGTTTGCTTGTTAATTCAGATCTGGCCCCAAACCTGGAGGGAGGAGCTGAAATGCAGAAGGAACCCTAAGCATGGATTCAAAATAGAAGCTTCTCAAACTTCTCTTCCTTTAAATCCCGAGGAATCCCCATTCACTGGGAGCCCCTGGGGATCTGAGCCTCTGGGGTCAGGGCTTTCCCGGCTCTGGGTTTTGTTCTCTCTCTTCGGCTCTGGCCTCCTCCTCCCCCAAGGCTGCCCTGGTGAACTGTTTCCCTGGGGCTGAGGCTTCAGTGGCTCCAGGACTCTTGTCTTTCTCCTTTCTGACCAGATGGGAGAGGACCTGTGCTCTTGGTGCCTTGTATTAGTCAGCTGATTTGAGAGAAAAGGGGATTGTGTCTCAGCACCCCTCACCTCCATTGTCAGGGGTATGGTTGGGTCAGAGCCACCGGCTTGGGAATTGAGGAAGGAAAGAATAAGGCAAAGGCTGATGTGCTTTGGATAGGATATTGTGGGTGGGGGAGTCTGTACCATGCAAACTACAAATAGAAAACTGCCTGGTGAAAAAAAAAATTGGGGTGGGGTGGGCTCCTGTGCTCTGTCTTCACAGTTCACTAGCCTGTCCCTCCTGGTTATCCAGTTGAAGCAAGTATTATGATGGGCTCCAGCAGAATTTCACTATAGGAAGAAAACAAAGCTGTGCCCAGTTCCCTAGTTATTTTGGCACCAAATACATAGTTTCCAGGGAAACCAGCCTTCCCCACGCCCCTTCACTATGCAGGATATTACAATAAGATTTTCACTGATGTTCAGTTACAATGAGAACCCTCCTCCCTGGTCTCCATGGGACTTCAGATCCTACCAGGTAGCATGCTTTGGTTTAGTGTCCCTTTTCTATCTCAACTGCTCCTGGGATGTGTTTGGCCCTATTTCTCAACAGTAGCTGGTGAGTTTTCAGTATAGAGTTCTTGATAAGTCTCCTCCCAGCCCTGGCTGGCCTTGGGCTGTTCATTGACAAGTTGGGACCCGTGGGGCATGCAGAGAATGAATAGACAGAGGAGCTGACAGAGGGATATTGCTTGGCTTTGCCTTATCTATATTCTTATTTTTCCAGAGGGTTATTTTGTTTGTTTCTTTGTTTTAACCATCTAGCTGGTACCTATATCTATGCCTTTTTTTTTTTTTTCCATCTCACGAATAGGTTGTGGTTCATTTGCTCCTCAACAACTTAACCAAATAATTGTTTTTAATTCAAATATCCAAACAGATTTTAACTATGAGTACGTACAGAGAGAAGCTCTCAGGGTTCCCCTGGTTTTTCGAGACAAGGATGGACTAGGAATCAAGTAAGTTGCTAAATTAACCCCTGGTTCCCTGATCTTCCTCCTGTCTGTCACAATTTCTCTTTGGGATGGGTTCTCCTGCCTTCTTCTCACCACTTTCAGAAGGATCTTTTCCTAAAATCTGAGAACAGCTGCTTCTCCGTGTTCAAGACCTGCCCAAGGAGAAAAACTGTCCAAAAATGATCTTTTTCAGGAATTGGGAAGAGAAGTCCTAGGGCATTTAAACAGTAATGGATTTCCTCCGTCCCCATCTAGTCTGTCTGTCCTGGTCATTGAAGCAGTGATGGATTTCCCACTGCCTTCTGGTCTGTCCTGGTCCCACGAAACAACTTCCTACTGAGAATTGTTCCCCTCCTCCTTAAATCAGTGTGGGTAGTGAAGGGACTGACCATCCTCTGAGCCTGACTGGGGCATCAGAATGCATGTTTTCTCAACATGTTCCCCATATGTAGAAAATGGGCCCCCTTCTAGGAAGGGTGTGTGTGTTCCCTCCCCCATTCCCTGCTGCCTGTCTATCTTATATTCTGGAGGAGAATTGCCAGTGTTCTGGGTTGGGGAGAGGGGAAGCAGGCTGGAAGAACAGGTTCCACTCCTTGGGCAGGGATAGGAAAGGATAGGCCACCTCCCTCTCCAGCATCTATTATTGCCAGGCTTGTTCATGTATGTTCCTACCAGAGGCATGAGACTTTCAACCTTGTCTTCACTATGTAGTCATGGCTGGCCTGGAGCTTGCTATGTAGACCAGGCTGCCTCAGACTCAGAGATCTTCCTGCCTCTTTCTGAGTGCTGGGATTAAAGGCATGTGACACCATGTATGCCTTTCAGTAGCTCTTTTATTTTGTTTTGTTTTGTTTTTGTGTTTTGAGAGCCCAGGCTGGCCTCATACTTAACTACATGGTAAAGAATGACCTTGAACTCCTGTGCCTCCTGCTTTGACTTCCTAGATGCTGGGATTGTGGTCGTATGCCACAGTCCATAAAGGCATGATGTACTCTTTTCTGACTCTGACTTTATTTATGTATTTAAAATAGTTTCTTGTAGTATAATCAAAGTTGGCCTGAACTCTGTATGGACACCCCTCACCCCCACCCCCGGTGTAGCCTTGGCTGCCCTGGAACTCTCCCTCTGTAGAACAGGCTGGTCTGGTACTCACAGAGATTGGCCTGCCTTTGCCTCCCGAGTGCTGGAATTACCTAAGCTTCTAAGTATTTTCTAGAGAGAGAGAGACATACCCTAAATTAAAGCAGGTATTTGATCCTTGACATCATGCTTCAGTTTTCCATGCTGTAGAGTTGGCCAACAACGTCCCATACTTTCCTGAGGCTCAGCTTTGGTCTTTCTCTTATAGTAGGGAGCATACTTCATGATTCTGGGTGACCTCTCTCTAGGTGCTTACCTGCTTTAACCAGGTTTGCCCTCTGGGGTATCTCATATTCCCCAGTGTGGAACAAGGAACCCCTTTTGGGAAAATAGCTTGCCCCTGGGCTCAGGGTAGAGTCTAACTCTGTGGGCTATTTTGTCTATTTTATTTTCATTTTGTGTTCATTGGCATTTTGCCTACATATATGTCCATGTGAGGGTGTCAGAAACCCTGGAACTGGAGTTGTGAGCTTCGATGTGGGTGCTGGGAATTGAACCCTGGACCTCCGGAAGATCAGCCACTACTCTTAACCAATGAGGCATCTCTCCAGCCCCTTTTTATTTCTTTTGTAACCCAACGTTCATGCTTGTCTTTCTCTAGGATGCCAGACCCTGATTTCACAGTCAGAGACGTCAAACTCCTTGTGGGTAAGTGCTGCACAGTGGGGCAAGAGAAGGGAAGGGCGGGGTTTACTACCTGCTGGTTTAGACTTACAGCTGCCTCAGGAAAGAATGTCCGCCCTGGAGGAGGTTGGAGCAGGTGTAAGCTGCAACTGTCTGATTCTGGAGAACAGGTCAGATTTGGAAGTCCTGAGAAGCTATATCAGAGGCTGTTTGCCAGCAGTTTCTTTGACGTGACTTGGACCCAGTCTCTATCTCAGGCGTCAGCAATGCAATGTCAGATCTGTCCTTTGTGTTTGTTTGTAGGTTGCTGGGTAAACAGTGGGTGCTTCATGACCCCTAAAAGACTTTTATATGTTCAAGGGGGAAGGCTTATGCCTCCTGCTTCCTCAGGGTTCTAGACAGGCCTAGGGCGGGGCTTGCCACTCTTGTTCAGCAAATGCTTGTTAACTCTCCGAGAGCCGGTGGGGTCCAGCTGTGCTTAGCTCTCTCAACCTTCCACCAGGTGGTATTTCAGATGGCAGAGAAAGTCCTTCAATACTCCATTCTTTCTAGAAAACCATTTCTTGCCTATATGGTAGACTGAGAACATAAATAACAAGGTCCCTGCCCTCTTTACTAGGACAACAGGCTGTAAAAGAAGTTGATCACATATTTTTCCAGTATTTGAAAGGACTTTGAAGAAATAAAGCAGGGTGGGTAGGACGTAGACAGGGTCGTCCTGGTAGACGTCTCGGGCTAAGACAAGGCATTTGAACAGATACCTGAGTGGTAACAGTCAACTCTGGGGGCCTGGAGAGATGATGGCTCAGTAGTAAAATCAGGTGTTGCTCTTCCAGATGGCCTGAATTTGTTTCTCAGCACACATCAGGTTGCTTACAACCACCCATAACTCCAGCACCACAGGATTTGACACCCTCTTCTGGCCTCTGTAGGCACCTGCATGCATACACAAAGACATTAAAAAAAAATGTTTATTTATTTTTAAGAGCCAACTATGGAAAAGAGTAGTCTAAGCTGTGAGGTGATCTAGGGCAAAGGCCAGAGGGACAAGCTTGAATCGCAACTTAAAGGATAAAGGAGAAGTGGTAGAAGAGCTGGCAGAGGCCTCAGGGCCTGGTCATCGGAGCCTCCGTCCCCCAGGGAAGGTTGGGTTTGGCTGTTTAGTATGATGAGAAGCCTGGGGGAGCTGAAAACTAGGGTGAACCTATTGATTTATTTTCTTAGGTGGTTTTGGTATTTTTAAATTAATTAATTAAATTACTAATTAAATTCATTAATTAGCTAGTTAATTAATGAATTTATGACACTGGAGATTAAACCAAGGCCCTCACACTTGCCAGCGCCAAGTTTTCTTACTAACTGGGCTATATTCTTTTTTGTTGTTAGTTAGTTAAAATAAAATTCATGTAACATCTTATTTAAAGTATACAGTTGAGTGGGGTTTTTTTTTTTTTTTTTGTGTGTGTGTGTGTGTGTGTTTCGAGACAGGATTTCTCTGTGTAGCTCTGCAGCCTATCCTGGCACTCGCTCTGGAGACCAGGTTGGTCTCGGACTCACAGAGATCCACCTGCCTCTGGCTCCCGAGTGCTGGGACTAAAGGCGTGCGCCACCACCGCCAGGCTTTCAACATTTTAGCTGCTATGAATAATGAAATGAATATTTATGTACGAGTTTTTATGAGTACCCATTTCTCTTGAGTCTTAGGAGTGAAACTGCTGGGTCTTAGGGTGTCTTTGTATCTTTTCTATTATCGTGACAGACTACCTGACTGAGTAATTTACAGAGAAGTGGTTTATTTTGGTTCGTGGGTTTTTGTTTGTTTTTCGAGACAGGGTTTCTCTGTAGCTTTGGAGCCTGTCCCGGAACTCTGTAGACCAGGCTGGCCTCAAATTCACAGAGATCCACCCAGCTGGTTCATGTTTTTGAGACTGTTAAGTCCAACAGCATAGTGTAGGCTTCTGTTTAGTATGTGCTGCTTCAACTCATGGCAGAAAGAGAAGGACCAAGCTGGGGTGTGCAAAACATGAAGAATATCTTGCCTTATAGCAGCCTCCTATCATGGTAACTAATTCAGTCCCTGGAGACATTTGTCCATTCCTAAGGGTTCCACCCTTAAGAGGCAAATACCTCCCAGTAGGCCCCACTTCCTACCCTGGATACTGAGATACTGAGTTTCCAACATGTGAACTTTTGGGAGACACTCATACAAAGTATAAGGTGACTAACTAAACGTTAACTGCCAACCTATTCCTCCATCAAGTATATCTTTTATTGGCGTCCGTCTATATGGGCGTCCAAATTGCTGCTCCTCCATACTTAGGCTTATATGGTCGGTTTTGTTTATTGCTTTTGGCTCTAGGTATTTTCTTGTTTATTTAGTTTTGTTATAACTTTATAACAAGGTCTCGTTATAAAGTCCAGGCTGGTCTAGAACTTGCCATTCTCCTGCCTCAACCTTATTTCAGGTGTGTGCTGCCACACGCCATCTGTGTTTTGCTTTTGTTTTGTTTTTTAAATTTATTTTCTGTGCATTGATGTTAAGGTGTCAGATCTCCTGGAACTGGAGTTACAGACAGTTGTGAGCTGCCAGCCATGTGAGTGCTAAGAACGGAGTCCTCTGGAAGAGCAGTGCTCTTAACTGCTGAGCCGTTTCTTCAGCTCCCGCATCTGTGTTTTTGATGGTGGCCATGTCAGTGGATATGGATTAGAGTGGTTGGATTGAAATTTATACAAAATACACATGTGGAAGATGAAGGCAGCTGGCTATGGCATATCAGACAATTTTTAATTTTTAAGTTTTTAAGACAAGATCTTAAGTGGGTAACCAAGGCTGGCCTTGAATTCACCACGGTTCTCCTGCTTCCAAGTGTTGAGATTATAGACATGTACTGTTATTATGTCTGGCTTCAGCTCTCTTAAATAATGTTGCCCGTCTGGACTTTCCTATACTTTTGTAGGTATATTATGCTCTGATTGCATCCAGGCTGCTGCTTCTTTCACTTGGGCCTCATGCATCTCCAGGTGGAAGCAGGAAGGCCCAATTAGATGGTTCCAACGTCCTTGCTAGACTAGAGTTGTATGTTGACCAGTAAAGCAGGGCTAGCTAACCGGCTTCCATCTCTGCCAGTACTCTTTGAGTACAAGGTCTTACCCTGTAGCCCGGCCTTCAGCTCACCTTAATCCTTCCGCCTCAGCCTCCTAGATGTTGGGATGATCCGTACGAGGAGTCATGCCTAGCTCTCTTAGCATGTCTGGGGCCATCCTATGTATGTATGTAAATGCTTCAGGAACATGTGAGGAGCTTGGACACTGACTGATGTTTGGCTGCAACTCTCCTGGGGTATGACAGTTGTTCGTGTGGTCTCTGGAGGGTGGTGATAGGCTTTCATAAATGACATAATTGTCAGAGGTGACAAATGTAACTCAGGCTGCCTTAAGCAGAACAGAATAGCTGGCTTATGTAATATATCCAGGCTGTAACCTTCGGACACACAGAGACCTCCGTGTTTTAAAACTGTCCCGAGAGGAACTTATCTTAAGAGGTTGCCTCTTGCCTCGGGCTAGGTGGCAAGCAGAGCTGGCTCTCTGGCCCTTGCCTTCTTTTCTCTTTTCTATTTCTCTTTGCTTCCTTTTCCTGACTTATTTTTGGCCACTTCCTGCCCTTATAAAGGTAAAACCAGAATCAGCAGTCCCAGGCTGACACCTGGCCACCACAGGGTCCTCCTTCTTGACTGCCCTCAGCCGTGTCCATGTCATGTCTCTGTGATGGCAGATACTGTAGCACCATGCCAACCCTGAAGCTGGTAGCTCAGGACAGTAAGCCCCAGGGCCTGCCAGTCCTGGTCGACCTGAGAGTGGGGGAACAACTGTTCTCCAGGGTTTCTCAGAGACAGAGCCATGTTCCTAACATTAGCCTTCTGCTAAGAGAGCACTGCCGGGGTGTCTGGCCAACCAAATCCGGGAGTGGAGGAGGTTGGGAACATGGCTCAGTTAATAAAGCTATGGAAAAATAAGGATCTGAGTCTGGATCCCAGCACCCATGACAGTGCTGAGCAAGTGTGGAACCTATCTGTAACCCCAGTCTTCCAGACTGTTGAGGGTCTCTGAGATAAACTGGGTAGCTAAACTAAACAAACCGGTTCAGATGAGATACCACATCTCTCTATGAATGGTATGGAGTAACTGAGGCAGATATGTGATGTCACCCTGTGGCCTCTACCTATGAATCTACACACACACTCATAACAACACACACACACACACACACACACACACACACACACACACACACACACACACACACACACACACACACACACACACACACGCCAAAAAAGAAAAAGACAAAAAGGTGTGGGGAGGCATGACCAGCTGTTCAGGCTACAACTCTGGCTGTAGACGCCTCTACGCCTCTACTGTTTTAAAATCAAGCTTTTGTCTACTGGCCATCTGCTCCTGGCTTGAGCCCTGTCTTTTGTTTATAGAAATGGATCTCAAAAAAAAAAAAAAAAAAAAAAAAAAAAAAAAAAAAAAAGCTGGGTGTTGGGGATGCAGGCCTTTAGTCCCAGCACTCAGGAGCCAGAGGCAGGTAGATCTCTGTGAGTTCGAGCCCAGCCTGGTCTACAAGAACTAGTTCCAGGACAGCCTCCAAAGCCGCAGAGAAACCTTGTCTCGAAAAACTGAAAAAAAAAATATTAGAAATGGATCTCAGTATATTTTCCAGGCTGCTCTTGAACTTTTGGGCTCAAGAATTCCTCCTTAGCTTTCCAAGTCTCTGTGACTGTAAGCCTGCGTCATTGTCTTCAGTGACCTGCCTTTAAAAATAAAATAAGAAATAGAAAGTTTCCTTTTCTATATTCTACTTAAACATTTATTTATTTATTTATTGTTTGTTTGTTTGTTTTGTTTTTTCAAGACAGGGTTTCTCTGTAGTTTTGGAGCCTATCCTGGCACTCGCTCTGGAGACTGGAGACCAGACTGGCCTTGAACTCACAGAGATCCGCCTGCCTCTGCCTCTGGATTGC